TTTAATTTTGTGCTCTAATTTCTATTTGGAGCGGAATGCCGAACAAATGATGGGAAGGGTTGATTTGAGGCGCGACGAAATTGGTGCTTAGATGAAGAAGTGCAACGGCGCTCGGCTCCAACGCGGCTCTCTGTGAGTTCGATCCGGCCCTCACCCCACTTTCGCGCAAACTTCGTCTGCAATCGCGTCGCGTTCGGGCGGCGACGAGCAAACAACGAGACTGCTGGCGAGTGAGTAGTCGCGGTGCTCGTCGTCTGCACACACGCTGCTCAATTTTTCGCCAACTCTGCTCAGCATCAGACCACATGGTTCTTCTTTAGCCGCGACATCCGCTCAATTTTCGGCTCACCAAAGGTCCTCGAAGCGACCGACATGTATCCCAAGGAGAACGACCGTGAGTTTTAATTAAATTGTCATTTTCGCAAACGCATTCGAAAGCACTTTCGCAATTACAAAATGCCGGTTGAAGAGAAGTGTGCCATATTTGGTCAGATGTGGGTTTTTTTAAGTCGTTATCTGATCAGACAAAGTCCAAAAAGAAGTAAAGAGATGTTCTTATTTTACGCGTTCTTTTTCTTTATCAGTCGAGTTTGTGGAATTAAAAAATAATCTTCAGTAATTAATTGATCTGTAATTTTTTTATGACCCTTCAATTAAAAAGATAATCATTTCCAATTTCTGATTAATCCAGGAGGTGTTTTTTTTATTTTTTTTTATTTTACTTTAAAAAAAATGTAAAAAAAATTTTCATGTGATATCAGAAATATTGTATCTTTCACAACTAATTGATTTGAAAGTTATATAATTTATATAATATAACAGTCGTGAAACTCCTTCCCACTTCTCCTTGTGGCGTGTCACATGTTTTTTTTGTTTTTGCCAAGGTTTTTTGTTTGTTTGAATGTTTGACTTGTCTCGCTCTGCTCAGTCCGAGCTTTACCTGCAGAGCTTTTATTGTATGAAAAGGTAGTTTCTGAATCGATAACCCAGTTTTTATCTGAGTTTGAATAAAAGTCGGGCGTGCAGTGCAGAGGGTGCACTGTAAGCACCGAGCTGATGCAAAAATGCTGCAACTGCACTAACCCCTTTTATCTCACGGCGCTCAATTTCACACTCCAGAAAGTAAGGTTTATGTGGAGGAAAGTTTATGTTGCCAATCAGATTACACTCCCCATTTTCCACAGTTTTGCAATAAAATTTCAAAAAAAAAAAAAAAAAAATAGGACTTCTATTTAGTTTCATAAAGAAATTTAATTGTTAATATTGGTTTCAAACTTTAGGGTAACTTTGTCAAAATAAAAGTCTTCTTTGATTTCCCTTTCTATTATCCTTCCAATTTAACTTTAATTTCAAAATAATTTCTCATCTCAATTCTGAATATTTGCTTAAAAAAAAAAAAAATTAATATTCAATCAAATTGTTTTTGTAAATTTTACCAGCATAACGCTCAGAGCTACTTTCCCTTTCTAAAAATAGCCGGTATCACTTAAACATTTGCATATTTTAGTCAACCCTAATCTCATTTACAAATATTCTCGGTTTTTCCAGAATGTTTAAATTGAACAATATTAAGCAAACGAATTTCCGTTCTTGCACGTCACTTTGATCCAGAAGGACCTTGCGAAATGAGCTGTTCATTAAAATCATTCATTAGTACGAGTGTCGGTGCCAAGGCGGGCACTTGGTGCGGTTCACTCACGTGACCTCATTTGAACTTGCATAGAACATGTGAAACCCTTGTTGCGAGTGACGTCTGCATTCGGTTGCTCCGCCGTTAACCTGGAAGCAGAATAGTTTTCGCACTGCGTACATGCCGCGGAGTCACGTGTGCACCGAAGCCAAGAGATTAAATTTGTGTAACATAATAATAACACGCAGAACACACCTCCGCCGAAATTACAGAGACAGATGCGCTTCGCTATTTTGGGCCGGTGGAGAGAAAATTCGGTGTGGCCTGGCCGTCGGCCAACGTTAGCTAACCCCGTGGCATTCGACCAAGCCATTGTCTAATCGGAGGTGGCAAGCGAAGGAGCACCGAGACGCGAATTAATGCCACTTAAATTAAATCGCCTAATCGGCTGATTTAGTGAGAGGGATTTCAATCGCGGCTCCACAACCGGTCGCGACTATTTTTGGCGTGGAAAGCATCCTTGGAAGGTGCCTCCAGATTTCTACTGCCCTCCTCCGAAAAAACGCACACGTGCACGAACTGCTGGAGAGTGAATAAAAAGACTATCACCTGATCACCTTGCCGGCTCTTTTTGCACGCCCAAAGCACGTGTTGAAATATTAGCAAATACATTTCATTCAAAAGATTCCTAATCTTGGTGCGAATTTTTCAACTTTGAAATTATATCGGTATAAAAATGGAATTATTTGAAGCATGGAGGCTTAAATTTTATCAAAAAGCCTTCTGAAAATTCATTTCATATTAAAAAAAAGATGATAAATCACTAATTTTGGCGAATTAAAAAAAATGTAAAATTCTATTAGATCAAATGTAATTTACATGATGTTTAACTCTGACAAAAAAGTTACTTATTTCTTTCATGAATATAGAAAGTTCATTTTTTGCCAATAAATTTATCTATAATTATAAGATTAATATAAATTTAATTAACCATGCATTTTATTTTAGTTCTTTATCATAACTCATATTTTGAAATTTAGATTTTGGAGTCGTCTATAATTAAATATTTTATCCTCATTTCCGCAATTATATTAGACCGGAAAAGTGTTGGTTGTTGTTGGTAGTTTTAAATGTCAGCGTTCCAAAAAGAAAATTAGCACGGATGTTTTGTTATCTTAAATTGCGCCGCATATAAATATTTCCATGCAAAAGGCCTCATAATTATTATTTTGTTTTCCAACAAAAATAACTTGTCTGAAAAAAGCGCTAATTGATTCGGCCTTTACTTTTTATGTCGGATAAAAAAATCCTGGGGAAATTCACCAACTCAGACTTAAATAAACATCAAAAGCAAGAGAGACGCTGCGGCTAGACTGCGAATGAATCACCTGCGGACTTTTAGAGACAGAATTTTTATTGCTCACTCGTAAAATATGAACGAGTCTCATTCATCGGCGAGGGGTTAATTTAGAAGCGGGAAAATAAATTTGTAATCTTTCTCGGAAGGGATTCAATTGGACGCTCATGCTCTATACATGCTTAACTTTCAACTCGTTTCAGTAAAACTGGTAGGCTTAAAAATAAATTTAATCAATTGGGTAACGTAATAAAATGCACGCTCATGTTAATAAATGATTTTTTTGGCTTTGCGTGACTCCGATTGCGCATTTGATGCAAAACAAGCCATTAGCCGGGCTGGGAATGCGTAGAAGCAGGAAGGCTCTGGAGGAAATATCGATTGTCTGCACTACTATTAGGCCAATTCAGGCGCTACGTGACTGGACCGCGGCGTGCCAGGGATGAATCTGGGTCAGCCGTGTGCGGGGTGGCTGCGCGCAGCCTTTGAACCCCGCCTTAAACGCGCCGGGAACTGCCAGACGCGCGTGTCTTCCAAACTGCTTTTCAGTTGAATTTGTTTGTTTATCGTTTTTGGCACCTCGTTTGTTGATAATTCTAATATTAGTAGAAACGCGTGGAATCAGATATACTTCTAGCGTTTTCTCGTGTAAACTTACACCTTTTAGACTTTTATCTCTATGCAGCGAGGCTTGTTTTTGCAATTGCGAAATGCTGTACGTTTCCGCTTGATAAGGCAGAAAACGGACTTGTTATGTTGATGTCAGGCTCACAGCGAGGTGGCAAAAGTACATAAATAAATTAACAAAAACACGAACGGAGGTTAGGAAGAGAAAATTTTAAGTAACACTTAAAATAGGAACACATTTGGTTAGAACAAGCTTTTAGTTTCCTTTTTTTTTGTCACCGAGATATTAAGTTAAAACACTCGAAACAAAAACTGGGAATAAATTATAACATTATAAAGAATTTACCCTGCTTGTACTCACAGAGGGGCTTAACCAATAATTCAAACTAAATCAGGAAGAGTCGAAAATTTTGCGGAATATTATATGTCTTATAAGGATTGATTTAGTTTTAATATTAATTATCAAATTATACTTAATTATTTTAATCAAAATCACTTGAAGGATTAATATTGAAATGACATTTCGTTTGGTGCCATTTAAAATTCTGACAGAAATTACATCTTATTTAAATTCTGGAAAAAAATTGAATGACGTTGACCATGGATGATAGATATATTTAAACTTTTTTTTCGTGTCTTAGTCAGTATTTAAAATTACAGGCAAATAATAACTGTGCTCCAATAATTTGATAATAAACTACTTTCCATCAAAGTCAAAAAGCATATTTTATTAAGGATTATTGTTGTTGTTCAATTTTCCAATGTCGCCTTATTTACATTTAACATTATATTATTGATTAAAAATTTGTTTAAGAAAAAGGTCTATTTATACATTAATTTTTATTTCATCTTAACATATTTTAATACTAATTTTATTGTCTTTTATCAGTTACAGTTTAATTCGATTCTTTCTTTTTAAACCCAATAGAAAACATTGCAGGAATTATTCAATAACACTTGAAATATTGTCAATTTTTCAGCGTTTATAAAATTAATAAATTTCCTCTCCATCGTTCAAATCATACTTGCGGTTTAACGTAATATACCGGTCATCAAGCACCTGTCTTGGCAGTCACGCGGCCAAGATGAAACCAGTTTTTTTTTTCGGTGCGCCGAGAGTCCGTCTGCGCGGCAGTCGGCCGAAAGTGCACGCAAAAGACGTTCACCTCGGCCAAGCAAGCAAGATGAGCTTAGGACAATGATAATTACAAATTACCACTGTTGGGCGGGTAACAGAGCGAAAGGTCGGATAATTAAGCGCGTCGCATGCGAGAAAAGAAGGGTGAAATCCAATTGAGCGACACTTGCGGGTCTGCCAAATGGGATTACTTTCATGTTACACTGGAGAGCGAATCCTGTTATCAGTGTTGTTTCTCTGTTGGGCAGAACTGGCAGTGAACGCTCTGGAGCTGCAGGGCACGATGGTGCAGGAGATGGAACTGCCTGCGGACATCCTGCTGCAGGCCGACGACGACGATGGCCTGCCCTCGCAGCACGACCTTGTCGTCGAGGACGAGCAGCAGCAGACCGAAACCCTCGCCGCCCTCGACACCATGAGGAAAAACAGACACTTCTGCGACGTTGTCCTCAACGTAAGTTCCTTTCTTTGGCAAACTGTTTTTTAAGTTAAAATTGTTCAGAAATTTAAGCAGGAAGAAGAAGAATAGAAGATGTGTAATGAAAATATTCATTATATTTTTTCAATTTCTTCAGTTTTACATTGGATTATTGATAAAAATTAAAATTTAATTTAATAATAACTATTAATTAATTCTCTAAGAAACCAAATTTTAATGTTTTTTCAGAGAGTTTAAAATCCTAATAACAAATAAGCAAATAAAAAACAGCATTCAGCAATAATAAAATACTTAAATATTATTAATAATAAAAAAAACTTTAATTTTTTTCAATGAGAACACAGAAAAAATTAATTTAATTATCTTTTGCAACGAGAAGCAATAAAAAATTCAGTGACCGCTTAGCGTCTCAACCAGAACACGTGTGGCCTATCAAAAGAAAAGCCCTTTTGCAACACTCATTCGCTCGCTAACTCACTCCACCGTGCCATTCGGCTTTGGCTGGCAACACCAGAGACCCAATTTTTTTAAGGTCACAGTTCATCGTTCGTCTGGTTGATGAATTTTTTATTAATCCGCTCTGCGCCTGCTGAATCAGCGTTTGTGGCCTTTATTGTCGCGGTCAATTCCCCGGCCCATTAATGGACAATCATTTCGCTTTCAACGTTTTTTTTTTGTGTCACGAAACTCGACCCTGGTTTGCGGGCAAAAATAATTACTCGAATAATCCGGAGGGTTTCGTCTGGCCCTGGTAGATTTCATGGAATTGGATCTCCATGCATTTGACTTTGAGCGAGAATATTTTAAACCGCAAACATCCTTTTAACTTGCCATTTGTACAATTTTAAGAAATGATAAGATATGACCTCATTGTTGTTTTCATTTAAAATTTACAATCAAATGCATCATAATAAATCCACTGAATAATTAAAAATTATGCGGCCAAAAAATTATATTGCTTTTAATTCCGTTTCGTCTTCAACTCTTAAAGAAGAACATCAAGATCAATTTTAAAAAGAAGGTAGAACAAAATAAGTGAAAATAACTTTTTTTAACTTCTAACCAATCAAAATTTTAAATTATGTAACCATTAAAAGAAATGATATTCTTCTTGACATTGGATTGATACTCAATAAGTTTACTAAACGTTCGCCTAATTTTCTCCTACCAAAAGATTTAACGAATATTCCTAATTTGATTTTATTTGAATTTTTGTCTCAAAATACAGGTTGGAAGCAGTGAAATCCATGCTCACAGGATAGTCCTGGCGAGTGCCAGTCCATATCTGCACGAGTTGTTCACAGCCGACGACGAGAACAAGAGCGCCGCCCGGGAGAATAAGATCACATACCGGCTGAACGGCGGTTTAGACAAGGTGGCCTTCGAGAGGCTCATTGACTTTGCCTACACATCCAGGTCAGTGACTCGTACTTGCTCTCATTTCTTTCTTTTCTCCACACAAAAAAGCGCTTGTCATATTTTGTAATTTATGATCTGAAATTATTAAATTAGAATTATTTTACGACCGGTGTGAAAATAATTTAATGGAAATTTGCTGCAGGCTCCATGTGCCAGCAAATCAAGTCAAGTCGGTGTACTTGGCCGCCTGCCAGCTCAAGATGGACAAAGTGATCCAGGTGTGCAGCCAGTACCTGATTCAGCACCTCGACGTCAAGAACTGCATCGAAATTCGCTCCCTTCCTGGAATCAACAAGAACAAGCAGCTCGTCGCCAAGGTTGACAGATTCATCAATAAACAGGTATTAAAAATTTCATAAAATACTAACAAAAATTAAACAATTTTTCTTTTGCAGTTTGACTTACTGTCAAAGTCGCCGTCGATGTTGAATCTCCCCTGCATCCAGATCGAAGTGCTGAATCAAACAAGAGAAGAAATGTCGTTGGTCATTGGAGAATCGTTGTGCCAGCTGGTGCTTGATTGGGTCCAGAGACAGTCCGAAGAGCACCCTTCGCTGGACCACCTCTCTGAAAAGGTAGAAATTAGTTTTAAGAGTTCACACTATATCCCATAATACATAATAATAATATTGATTACATTTGAACATTATTAGCTGCAATTTATATCACCATTATTTTTTAAAGGAGTTGACTTACGTTTCTCCGGCAGACGGAAATTATTAAAACTTTATTTGTCAATTTTTATTCTAGACACATCTGCTGTACTTGGCGCTGGATAATTCTCTGCAGGACTGCATGGAGTTGCCAAGTGGCGAGGTCAGCGATTCAGACATTGTTCAGGACTACAAGAAACTCTCAAAGAGACAGTCACAGTCAAACTTGAAGGTCAATATTTTTTATATTAATTCCAAACTATATTCTACCAATAATTTTTAGAGAGGAAGCAGTTATTAATTTAAAATTTTTTAACAGAACCGCCGGAAATCGCAATTGCAGCCAGCAAAGCCCCGCATCTTGGTCTACTCAAGGGACATCAGTGACAAAAATCTGACTGAGAATCAGAATATAGACTGGGACTTAATTGCCAACACCAAAGTGCAGGACCACACCTTCATGGCTCTGGTCTCGATGGCTGGCGCTTTGGCTACCCTTAGCGTCGTTCTGCGCCTCAACAGGCCAAAAACACCCTCGCCCACCAACACCCCAGGAGACACGGCTCCCGGCTCCAGACTGCCCAGTGAAGAGAAGCCAGACCTGTACTGCGTGCTGCCTAACATGAGCCACGTCAAGTGTGCTGCAGGATGCGCCAATCTCAATGAAACCTTGCTTGTTTGCGGTACGGAAAAAAAACACAGAAGTTTGATAATAGAAATTGTTACTAATTTTGTTTAATCTTCCATTCAAAAACAGAGATATATAATGAAATTTTTTATTTGTGTCATGCTTCAACATTTACTTGTATTAGCAGAAATCTAAGAGTTTGTAATTTTTTTAAATTGATTTTTTACTCATATTTCTCAGGTGGATACGACAGAGGTGAATGTTTGAAGAGTGTTGAGTCTTACTCGCCGGACGGCAACATCTGGGCAACACTGGCCCCCATGAAAGAGGCGCGCGGCCGCTTCGACATTGCCGTTTCCGGTGGAAAAGTTTTTGCAGTGGGTGGAAGCAACGGCACCACGGAACTGCCCACCGTTGAGATGTACGACCCAATGACCAAGAAGTGGTCCAGGATGGCCAGTCTCCCTTTGGCTCGCTCAAATGCAGGTAAGAAAGGCACATTTTTTTCTAAAGGGTTGTGAAAGCAAAGTATTTTTAAAGGCAAATCTAGACTCGGCCCCAGACAGCTGGAGGTAAACTCGAGGCGTTTATATTTGTGCTCTCATTATATGCTATTTATGATTTTTATATATTATTATATATCTTGTGGCATGTGCTGGGTGAGTGGGGGTTGACTGATTGATTGACTCTGGTGTGCAGTAGCCTATTTGAATTTTTTTACCAAGTTGGAAAAACTTGAATGGGCTTCCTTTCTGTCCCCGTCCCCTCTTCTATATGAAAACTTTTTAGCAAACAGACGACTGACTATGGCATTTTTATGTTCTCTTCCACAGCCGCTCACCAACAACCTGGACCAAGACCCTATCAGCTAACAATTTCAGAGAAAGGAAGCTCAATTGTTATTTTCTCTTTTTATTACATTGTATTAAAAGGGATAGGTTAAAAGTTGCCTTAAACTCTGAAAGAAAGAAAGAACGAAAGAGCAAATGAAAAAGCAAAAATCATCACGTGGTCACCAGCACTTCTTTTTGTTTAAGTAGTCAAACGTGCATCAAATTTTTGGTGAGTATCTCCTGTTTCATTTCCAGCAGCCGCGGGCTAGTGGATTTTTTTGGCCGGACCCAGAGTTTGCATTCACTGCACTTTTCCGTTTTCAGAACAAAATTAAGGAAATTTTTTCTTTTCAGTAGGCGTTGGATCAGTTTATTATAATATATAATTATTTTTTGGTAAAACGCGTTTGCAGATCCCATTTTAATTAAGTCTGGTCGTCCGAGTTGTCCGAAAAATCCAGCAACCCAAAGTCCTTATTTTCAGACCCTTCACTCAGCGGGAAATGTGAGAAAGTGTCCAAGTGCGTTTCAGCTCTCAGTACGCTGCTTCTGGCCCAAGCTCACTCTCACATAGCTCGGTCGCGGCAACAGTCTGCCGAAAATCACAAAATTGTCATACATTTCGATCTTTCTTTTTTCAATAAAAAATTCAACGTCCGGAGTCGAAACTCGCACCAGTCAGCTCCAATGAGCAATTGTTGTTGCAGGCGTTTGCGACCTGGAGGGCAAGGTGTACTGCATCGGCGGCTGGAACGGCCAGGTGGGCATCAAGCAGTGTGACGTGTTCGACCCCAAGACCAACGACTGGCGCAGCGTGGCCCCCCTGCTCACTGGCCGCTACCAGGCCGGCGTGTGCTCCTTCGATGGCAAGGTGTACGCGGTCGGCGGCTGCGACGCCTGGAACTGCCTCAACTCGGTCGAGTTCTACGACCCGGCCACGGACTCTTGGTGCTACATCAAGAGCATGATCACATCCCGACGCGGGTGCGGCCTTGCCGTCTTCAAGGGTATTATTTCTTATTATTTTAAAAAAGAATATAATTTATGTAAACTATATTCTGAAAATTCAATTCAACTAGTTTTATGTTTATTCCTAAGTTTTGGAATTTTCATGTCATATATTCATTTTCATCATGCTTATTTATTTTATTCTTGTATTTTTCAGGCATTTTAAATTCATTGTATTGAATAAATATTCTATGTATCTAAAAGACTAACAAGAATGTTTTATTAGGAAAACTGTATGCGGTGGGTGGATCTGACGGGAGCCATTCCCTGACCTCCACCGAGATCTACGACACTGAAACCGAAACGTGGACTCCGGGTCCTAGCATGACCACTCCAAGGGCCAACGTCGGAGTTGCAGTTATCGGAAACAGATTGTATGCTGTTGGTGGATTCTCAGGTATAATATAAAATTGTCTTTCAGTGTATAATATACTTTTAATTAACCTATAATTTATGAATTTAAAGAAATTTATTTGTGAACATTATTCATTATTTATTGGCTTGAAAATATTAATTTTGCTGTATTTTTAGGCAAAACTTTCCTGAACAGCATCGAGTACTTGGACGAGTTCACTGATGAATGGACCACATTTGTACCAAAACAAGACTTGCACTACCAACTTTCCTTGCCAAGCGGAAGCGACAGGACGTCCAAGAGCGACGGCTCCTCCATAGCCAGCTGCTCCGACTCCGGTTCTGTGAGCGAGTGAAGTGGCAGAACCTTTTTGGGCCCTGAATTCCCTCACCACTCAATTTTCGTTAGCTGGATAATCTTCAAAGACTGCTGATACGAAATAAATCACCTGGCCAGGGCTACTTTTTGCTCCCGGAAAATTTTTCTACGCCTGATGCCAAGCATGCTATCGATTTAGAAAACGCATTCTGATTTGTATGATAAAATAATATTACACATTGATTACACATAAGTCTCGGTGTTGGTTGATTCGATTTGCCAGACTACCTCTCATCAATGATAATTATGACTTGTGTATACAGTTAAAGAAATAAAAAATTGACCAATCGAACCCAGGGTTAAAAAATACTCGATCTGACGTGTGGTAGTCTGAGCAAGTGTAGACCTGGCCTCTCACCCTGTTAGCGAAGAGGTTTTTACACTTCACTAAAAAGATCTGTTGCGAGTTTAGAATCAAAATCGGGGGCCACGTTGCAAAATTTACTGGCAAATGTGTAGCAAAAACACCGATGTTGACGAAAAAAGGGATATCACAGGGCGGTTCAGTTTTGTATACACTAAACATCTTTTTGATACGATAAGAGCGAGACAGCCAGTTATTTTTGTATTTATAAACTCATTTGTATTCCAAACAAGAAAGCAAGACGCCCCAGTCAATCTTTTGTGAATCAATATCGCCATCTTGGGCCGTGTGTGTTTTACTGCTGAACTGGGAGACGACTAATGTGTAGACGCTGATTGGTATTCTCACCTGTCTGTTTTTCGAGCAAGCATATCTCTTTTGAAACCACCACTGCATTGTAAAAGCTACTTTTAATTATTATTATGTACATGATGATGATTAATATTATTCCATTATTGTGTGATAAAAGAGAAGAGACCTGCGGCAGCCTCAAGTTTGAAGGCGGCTTTGTCCAGCACTAGATTGTTTTATGATGGTAATGAAAACATTTGCCGTTCTGTAGAGATTTATTTTTATATCAAAATAATGCATCAGGCATTTTTTAACTTTGCCAAAAAAGAATGTTGGACGAATTTGATGAAAAACAATTTCCAAAATTTAGTAGCCTTCAAACGTAAGGGCTGCCGTAGACAATTTTAATTAATTTGGTTTTCGTCGCAAATGAAAACATAATTTTGGACTAACTGGAAAACACTGTTTATGTGCCGTTTTAAGTGTCTTAGAGGTATTATAGAAAGGTCATAAAAAAAGCAGATTTACGATGAAATGTTGTATAAAACTATCGAATTACCATAGGTGATTATGTTTTAATGTTGGTAGCATGTATTAGAGGATATGATCGATATGATATTCAATAATCACCTTGTTAGTGCAATGTTGACCTTTGCAACCTTCAGCTGCTTTTGATTGTTTGAACACAGCCTTCATTGAAAACATTCAGCAAGAGTCAGGGGTGATTTGTTGTAATAAATTTGGAAATACATACATTCATCATGAACGATAAAAAAAGATACTTATTAACTTAAAACCTCACTCAGAGTTTTATTTCCAACTCAAGCATAAACTTATCATATTTACAATTGGAGAGAAAACTGATTTCACTGCGAATATAATTTAATGTAATCCTACAATCCTCAAAATACATTTTGGGTACAAAATACGGTTTAGATCTACCTACAGTTGAATTTCCAAGTCTTTAGGAATTAAAAGTTTTCCACTCCATCAACCACGACCTACGTGTTGGAAGGAGATCGGACCTGGATGATCTGAGGGGTGGATTGGTTGACAGCAATTGGAGCCGTTTGAATAATGACTGGCTGGCTTGCGTTGCTTTGGAATTGCATTTTGATGGTTGCCAGTTGAGAGGGCGTCAGCTGAATCTGAAGAAAAATAGTGACAAAAATATGGATCAAAAGAGGTTGGAAAGTGGTAATGTTAAAAACACACATTAAAACTGCACCTATTATTTGATAATATAACTTCATTTAAATTTGACAAGAAATTACGAAAAGGATCAATTAATTGGCCCCAATAAATGGAAATATTTGTTAATTAAAAGAAAAAATCTAATTTTTTATACGAATTACAAATTTTCTTAAATTTTTTTCCAACTTACAGGAATCTGCTGAATTTCTCCAGTCGGAGTGACGATCTGTTGGACAATCTGGATTCCACCTTGGGTTGCAGTCTGAGCCTGATTTTGCACCGACGGCGCTTGCAACTGGATGATTTGTGGTTGTGCTTGTTGTGTTGTGACCTTAATAAAAAAGTATTACATTATTTTTTCTTGTCATAAATTGTAAATTTAAATTACCTGAATATTCTGGGTCTGCGCAGGTTGTTGCTGGGTTGCGGTGGAGGTGGCAGGCTGCGTAGACTGCTGGAGTACCTGCTGGTGCTGCTGGGCCAGTTGAAGGTAGTACTGAACCTGGTCGGCATTCATTGAAGTGCGGACTGTCTCGTCTGTGCGCTTGGCTGGTTTGATGTCGTCACGGGGGACAATGTCGATCAAAAAGTCAAACTGGTCAAACTTGGTGATGGCCATGGCAATATCGTTGCGCTGCAGGGTGCGTCTCTTGTTGTCCTCCGTGTGCACCCAGGCCCGCAAAGTCAGTTCCAGGATGAAAATCTCGGCCGCTTTGGCGAATAGCACCGGCGCCTCTGAACTGATCATTTTCACGTCGTCGTCTAACTTCATGATCTTCTTGATGCGCGCCAACGGAAGTGCCTGCTGTTTCAAATCCAACTGCAGAAAAAAAATTAAATTTGATTACAATATTTGGGAAAACTTTGGACAATTTAATATACCGTTTGTCGTTTGACCTCTTCCAGAATTTTCGGCCAGAAGTTGTTCAGGGTCGTCTGAGAACTGGCCTCTCCGGCCACACCACCTGGATTGTCCTCATTTTCCTCACTGAAATAGAAAACAATAAATCAAAACGGGAAATTTCATCATGTTTCCTTGGCTTGGGGTTTGGACGCGTCGCTACTTACGAGGCAAGAGCGTAAAAGAGAGACATCTTTCTGCGACTTGTGAATGTTAATTGAGTTAAAAATAAATTTCCGTAATAAAAATTATCCCTAATTTAGTGACTTCGGCAAAGACTTTGGTTCAAAAATAATTTTCGATTGGAAAAGCCAATCGGCGAGAGGGAAAACAAGCCAACCACAACAACTGGTCAACTGGACAGCTTGCTCGCAGCGCCAATCTCGCGGGGGCCGGAATCGGAACCTCGATTGAGCGCATGCGCACGAAAAAACGCACGCTTGTTTTGTTTATGTTGAATTGTTGATGATTATGGCCGGCATTACAACCCAAACTATTGCAAATTGCTACTAATAAATTCAAAATTTCGGATTGAAGAGTGATTTATCACCGATCTCTGAGTGAAAGTGAGTAAATAAAAAGTTCTCGGGGAATTTGAGCTAAAATTTGCAGCGATTCAAGCGAGCACATGGCACACCGAAGCCTAAAATTTATTTGATTTTAATTAAAAAATCAATTTTTTTTTCATTCTTACGTTATTTCCATTACTGGTGGAGGCTCTTCAGGCTCGAAATTCGCAGAAACCACTGCCGACTGGAGCATCAACTCTTTCAAAATGTCCCTTTTCCAACTATTCCGCACTTTCATTCCTTTGGGCAGCAGAGATTGCGGCTTGTACCCTATTATTTCGACCACTTCTTCCTGATTTAGTTTGTTCTCTTGAGGCGCTTCTTCGTCGTCAATCGTGATTTGAATTAGTCTGTTTTGTTGGGGAGATTTATTCTTGTTCGGGTCATCAACGACATCTTGTTCCTGCATGTTCCAGCGCTCTAAGTTCGCTTTTGCCTTATCCATTTCTTGGTCATCCTTCGATTTTTTCACCTTTGTTTCCATTGATGTCAACGTATCGACAGGAGGTACCCACGTTTTTTTGCCATGCACAAGATCCACTTCCATTTCTTTTAAAAAAAACTTAAAGACTGAACTGACCACCGTAGAGGCTCGCGCGAGACGGCTCTGATTTTCCAACTGAAAACTGCCGTCAGGGCCCTCTCGCCTTTTATACCGGGCGTGGTGGCTCCACCTTATGAAAAAGGAGCCCGCGGGCATAGAGATCAGATGCATGGAGCGGAGGGCGCACACTTTTTGTTCACCTTTCTTTTTTAGCACACAACACAACTCACAAAAATCTAATCAAACTTGAAAGAGAAAAACAATACAAAATTAATGAGCAGAGGACGAAACCTAATACTTTTATTTTGCCAGAAATTTAAAATTTGCAGAAAAGAGTAAAATTAATGGATTATTTAGAAATTATAAAAAAAGGCCAATTGAAATTATGTCTAAGAATATTTTAAATTTTTATTTTAACTTAGAGTTGCATCAAGGTGACCTAGATTTTTTTAATGTTTATTTTCAAAACAGGTTGATTTTTTCAATATTTTAGCTACGAACTACAAAAACGCGAATGTTTCGCCACAATACAAAATGCATTGATACTTTCTAGATTTTTTCTTCTAGAAAAAGTTGAGGGTTTTGGGTGCTGTCTTTGCCTGCCTGGAACTGAGAATTGATTTTTTTCTTTTCTCAAATATTTGTTTGCCCTGGCCTGTTGTGACTTACAATTAATTGTGTGCACAGGCAAATTGGTCTTGCAGCGCCATATTGACGTGGCCTAGAGGGGCTATAGTTTCCTCTCAACAGCTTGTGTGTTGATCAAGCATTTTTCCTTGCAATCAGCTCGCTTTTCTATTATTATATTAAGTTTTGACTTTTAATCATCAGAGTGATAGGAATAACTTAATTTCTTTATTTTCATGACCTTTAATAATAAATACAATTTTTTTTTAGAGTTTTTCAGGTCATTCTTCTGAACTAAGTCATTTTAATTGCTAATTTTGAGCATAAATTAAAACTAATTGCATTATTTAAACGTAACTTCTTGAGCGCAGTTTGGAACTGATATAGACGCGTCTGTCAAGTAATCAGGGGTGAAGCTCTTGAGGGCCTCGATTTCTGCTTTCACCTTTTTCCCTACCAAAATGTCAACCTTTACTGCTTGAACCAGGGCTTATTGATGTCGCTTAAGATGAACACCGATCCATTTGATCTCGGGCATGGCCAGCGCAGCAGAAAACTGGCACATAGCCTTCAAATTATTTAATTAGTTCACCGTTTATCTTTTTTAATTTTTAATACCATTGAGCCAAATCTGTATGTACACATGATGTCTATTCCGTGAGGGTCGGCGTCCACCAGGATGAAAATCGGGAGTTTCAGTTTGTCCCAAATCATTTTGACCAGCAACCGGGTGCTCAGGTCTGGATACCCCTTTCCCTGAAATTTAGTTAAAATTTAAATCAGAAATTGATTTTTTTTTCAACATTTTCACCGTTATCAAAATGCTGGATCCGTAATAGTCCATCAAGTCTCCATCCAGAATTTTGTGGAAAATGGCGTCTTTTTCCACAATGAGAACAAAATTTGCATTGGACTTGAGATTGCTGGCGCTGTAAATGTTTGCAGGAATCAGAACACCTGAAAAAAAAGGTGCACAAATTCAATGCAGGCACAGATAAATTTTTTTTATAATTAAATCTCACCTCTTTTGCAATTGATGCTTCCGTCCTGGAACTTGATTTCAATTAAGGTCTCCTGCGACAATTCCTTTTCCGGCAGAGAAAATTCCAAACTCCCAAGGCGCCGCCTTGAGAAAGTCGCTCATTGTGATGACCCCTTTGTCCAGCATGGCTTGATTGGGCAGCAGAAACTGGTAAAACAGTTCACGCTTGGTGGCAGTGGAGTTGGTTTGCAAATGCCAGTGCACCCTTTCCATCAGAGATAGTTTGTGGCGACTCTGTGGGATAATTTTCTGAGAATAATTAATATGGATCATGAGGATAATATTCTTTAAAATCAGGAAGTTATGATTTTCAACAACAAATCTTTCTTAATCAGGTCATATATATAGCATTCCTACTTAGATTTAAAGGAAAATATTGTAGTTTTACACTCCAGAAGGAAGTAGACGTAGGAGGTCACGTAGGTCATTTTGCAGGCCAGTCGCTGCATCTTGTCATGGTCAAAGTCCAGTGTTGTCAGAGATGACATGATAGGAAGTTGGTGACACAGTGCCCTCATTCACATGCTGGCTCATGGCATAAAAGTCGTATATACCTAAAAAATTAAAATTATATTTAAATAATTATACCCTTGAAATGAATAAAACTGATAATTTTTTAGATTTAAATGAATATTGTTTGCATGAATTTAATGCACACCTCTCAGGCAAGGTGATGCAATCACAGTACTGTCCAGCAGGTGGGTCCGTTGGAGGGGCACCTGGGTGAGGGCTGCTGAACAATTTATCTGGTGTTGATGCTCTTGGACACAATGACGTATCCCATGATGATCCTCATGGACAGATGACCATCATTGACTTCCTGGTACTTCCTGAGACGGACACCTCACTGCTCATTTACTCAGAAGACTTGTGGGATGAAACCACTGAGTACCAGCGGCTGAGGCTGCTGTTCAAAGAGGCCACAGTGCAACCATAGGAGATGTTATTTGTTCATGTTGTTGTGGCTTCAACATCGAAGCCGACAAACATGGTGTCACGCACTGGCATCTCAACGGCCCAAGGCGCACCTCCAGCCTGAAAAATCATCCAGAAAAAAATATTTAAATACAGCATAAAATATTTAGTAAAGAAAATGAATTATATTGCCACAAAAAAAATTGAGTTTTGATTTTTTTTTAATCGAGAATAAACGCAAACCTTGCAGTTGATTTGGATTACCACTTTGCAGGCAATGGATTGAAGGATTTGGCAATTAAATCACCAGGCTGGGCTTTGGTACGCACTGGGAGAGCATTTCTTCGAGCCTGTCCACATAGGTGGCCTCTGGTGGTCATCATTCAGGTCCCAGCGCTTCGGAATCTCTATCTTGAAGCCCATCTGTCCGGCTACGTCTGTTGACAAAGTTGCTGGTCTCCCTCAATGTGTCTGGGCACCATAACCACCCAGTTGGTCAAGTGGGGTGCTTCACGCATCCCGGTACTTATCAGCTGCTTGGTCCAATCTACAATGGGGCCAGCAGGGTAGCGCCCGTCTCTGCCTTCTCGTCCTCGAATGATGTTCTCCTGTGGAAGGACCATACTGCACCATCTAGGCTATCTTCAATCTGCATATTCCACGAGTTAGAGTTCCCACAAAATCTACAAAAAGACAATTTAATTATTTGGTATAGGATTTTGTTTAATTATTATTTCAGAGATACCTTATCCTCTTCGATCAAAAGCCTGGCAAACTCGATCATCTTTCCCACTGTCGGGGCTTTACTCGGCACTTCCCTCCTCTCCTTGGACACCGATGGTGCTCGGTGCACCGTTGGTGGCTGAGGAAGACAGGGAGTTCGGTACGGGCGAGCAAGAGAGCGAGCGCATTCATTCTGTCTCTGGCAAGTGTACGTTTTACTCATATGTGTGTTTTGTGTGTGCGAATAAAGAATCAATAACAGCACAACTACGAAACCATGTAAGTGTGTTTACATTATTAATCTCCCTAACAACCACGAGTTAATTAGTGATTGATTTATATTACTAGTACGACCTATTTTATGGCACCTAATTAAATTAGTAATTATTTAGCATCCGGACAATCTTTTTCTCCGACACATACTCCCTTGGAAGGTCCCACTCTAGTGTGCTCTGCAAGAGCACTCATTAACCTGTAGTTGCTGCGCATCTGGTCAGTGAGGCGTGAGGCCAGTGATGCGGCACAATTCTAGAATCAGCAAGACCGTCTCAGACATCCCAGCTCTGATCTCTGATTTCCTTGGCTTTAGACTTTAAGCAAAATGAATAATAGTGTATTAAAGCATAAAAGATTGATAAAAAGAAAAACTAAATATTTAGCAAAAATATGTAGATTGATTTTAAATACCTTTCTTGCCTTGGCTCGTCCTAAGGACGGACATCTCTGAGGCCCTGACGGACAAGGGGCGCAAGCTGATATCAAGGCTCGAGGCTTGGGCTCCTGGGGCGTGGCGGAGGAGGCAATGAAGGGGCGCTAGGGACGCGACCAAAACTAGTCGCTGGCCCATTTGGGGGTGTCTCCATCGACGACAAGGAAGAGACCACCAACGCTGCCGTTGTCTGAGGAGGCAGAAGACACGACTTGCGTGCTTCGGCCCCGAGATCGGCCAATGGGACGGTGGGTTGGTTTCATGATAGTTCTTTCAAAACCTGAAATGAAAATATAAAAAAAATCTTGGTTGAAAATTACAGCTTCAAAAAAAAAGTCCAAGTTTGCGATTGTGCGATTAACTTTCTTTTTAAAACATATGTGTGAGTTTTTAATTGCAATCACATTGCCATCATTTTTGCAAGTTTTTTAATGGTATTAGTTTTCAAAGATGAAAATTGGCAATAACAATAATTTCACGAACACGATATACAAAAAATGACAAATCATAAATCAAACCGCATATATTTTCAATATCCTGTTCTTTTAATATCTTCTATATAAAAGGGGTATGTTGAAGTACAATATATATCTTATTTATCGCCAGTGAACATCAACAGTACATACATTAAAACTGAAATCTTACAGGATCATTTACATACATTTGAGTGGTTTTAATTTACATGAAATTTTACAATTTAAAATGCACGATCCTAGTTTAGTAATTGGATTATCTCAACATAATACTTTAGCCAAAGGCTTTAGCCCCTGCATGACTCTTTGGAGGAAAACTCGACTCGGCTCACATAGACAGTTTTCACACACACACACACACACACATACAATGCTCACTGCCACTATTTTCCTTTAAGGAAAGTTTCGGACGACAAGTGGACGTTTGTCCGTGTGGTCATCAAAACCTTGCTTGAGCTAGCATATTCTCATCTCCAGCTTTCAATCATTCTCGATTTTCAAAAAAAAATCTCGGTGAATATAAAACGACAGTATAATTCAAAAATCGGCAAAAATTCAGCGAAATAAATGAGCAATTAAACAGCTTTAAATACGTACACTTCAATTTAGCAAGTTGGAAACATATTAAAAGAGGTCACAATTTGCAGGCACAGGTAACGAACGGCGAAGCTAATTATACTCTACAACACAACAGCGAGTCTGCTACTAAAATGATTGTCATAAAGCACTAAGAGTGTGCCAAAGAATACAAATTAATTAATGTGATATAACTGATGAAAGAAGTGCCATTTAGCTGAGACACAATACAAGTTAAAATAAAAATGACTTTGGGTCGGAGACACCCTACTCGTTGCAATGATATTAATGTACAAGTAAAACACAGAAATAGTGGTTTGGTGAGTGGGCTAAATCAATTAATGTTGGGAGCAATACTATGCTGCACGACGGTACTGCCACCTAACAAAGTACCTTTGCACTCACGCTCTGTGCATTTCAAATCGTTGGCTACAATACAACTGGCGCAGCTTTTCCAATGCTTGCAGTCATGGAGGATCGACCGGTTGTTTCTTTCTTTCTTGGGGTCATCAAGAACACAGGTTTGGCATTTGTGCTCGGAGCGGGCCAAGAGACAACAAATAAGGAGATCTCGCGTGTATTTTTCGTAACCTGGAAATTAATTAAGGTAACTATATTTAAGGACTTAAGTAAAAGAGTGGGAACGTTCATAAAATGGGGTACAAAATCAAAGGTTTAACAAAGTGGAAATAAGGCAACTCACCCAGCACAATGTTCTTGAAAGGATTATTTAAATCAAATAGGGTAACAAGGTCTTGGAGTCGATACTTTCCAAGCACCTCTTCAACTTCTTTCTGCCAGGTCTCCTTGTTCAAACCACCTTGGCAGATAGTGCTGATCATCTTCGAAAGATCATTTGCTTGAGTTAGAGTGGAAGTCAGGAATCTCTATAACAAAAAAAAAAACAAATCAGCAAAAATTTTATAAATGCCGCAAAATTTAAATTATTGATAATCCAACTGAAGAGCACAAAATGGCAAAAATTTATATTTTTAAGTGGGTTCTGTATATAGCCTGTAAAATATATGTAAAAAAAAGCGTACCTGTTCATAGATGATGGTCCTGTTTTTCGTCAATCTGTAAGCAAGAGTTATGAAGTTGTTAATCAGCATGTCTCAAAATTTCATTGATATCGGGTTAAGAAGACACAAACAAACAGAAAAATTGCGTATATACTTTTCCTCCTTGGTGTCCTTGTCAGGCCTCATCTTACACTGGAGGCAGTCTCCAACGTGGCCTCCGCAGGCTTCACACAAGCTGCAGTGGCCACAGCCAACTTTGTGCAGGGCTGGTCTCATGCAAGACTGGCACAGAGGCCGCACGAAGAGTGGCAATCCTTTGGCTCCTAAGTGCGAGATCATTATACTGGCAAGCAGGGTCCCTGAAATGGGAAGAGAAAAATTGTAAATGTGCTGTGCGTGCGATAGAGGCAATGTAACTTACAATTCATGCCCTTCTGAACCACTTCGCCGTTCATCAGCAGTGTATGAACAAGAGCATCTTCCGAAATTTCACTTAGGTCAATTTTAAGGAAAGCCTCCTTTGTGCCACAAACGAATTTCGATTGCTAGAATAAAAAATGGATTAATTGTGGTGCTTAATGTTTCAAAACAAAGATGTGCTTACATATTCAACGCTGTTGTCAAACAGAACCGGTCTGGGACTGACTCGTTCTTGGTCCTGGAAAAATAGAAAGTTGCTTGATTTTGATCCATTTTCGAGATTAGATCTTCCAGTAAAATGGAGGGAGAGCAGATTCTTGAAAAACTGTACTTTGCATGCCATAAAAAGAGGGCGAGTTTGTGAAAAGAAATATTTGATAAGACAAAACTAGGAATGCAATGATTATTATGGCTTTACAAAAAATAAACAACTCGAGTAAGCTGAGTGGAGTGTGTTGTTCTGTTAATTACTAGAATTAAATTCTAAAAAAAGTATCTGCATGATCATTACCTCGTCTGACAAGTTCAAGTAAGAGGCGTCTGTGTTGTCAGCCTCTGCAGCCAAATCTGAGTCATTGTCCTGGATATCAGTGGCGGTCTTTGTGGGTGCTTCACTGACAACCTGCAGGCAGAGGATTTCACCAATTAAGAAAGCAGAAACGATAATGCAGGCCAAAAATTTATCCCTTTGTGAGGCTCAATAATATAAATCCATGACGAGCATGGTTTTAAACAAGACCTGAAAAAAATTAAATGTTAATCAATGAAAAACATTGACGAAAACTGAAAATCAGCTTGCTCGGTGAAAAGTTGAGATTTATTTTCTGTATCTCTGCAGTATCCTGCTCTTATTCTAGTAATTTTGGCTTCCTGAATGAAGCTCATGAATTAAGGATTCATCCGAGAATCTGTCTAGAAACATAAATAAAGAGAGTAAGCTCATCTTCTCACCGTGGCATCATCTACTCTCAAATAATATCAACAGAAAGGTCCAGCGCAATAATTCTTTATGAATGAAGTTGATCGGGTAATGGAGAGGTGAGCGGAGGAGAGTTGAAGGAATTGAACTTCAAGTGCGTACCATGATTATAGGCCAAAATCATGTGAGGAAATCAAGGCTGTATTTGATTTTCATGAAAAATTTTAATTTCAATTATTGATTAGCAATGAACGAAACGCATAAAAACAAAATGAAGTGCAATACATGAATTTATGGTTAAATTTGAAGCCCAGGCGATTGCCCGGGGCAATTGTGCGCTATTAAATTACTTTGCGCCTTATATTTGAAATTTCTATAAGTTAGAAACAATTTCAGAGCGAATATACATGAAATGATGAAATAGTGGTAAAATTTAGCGCTGGATCAATTGCCAAAAGTTATTTTGCTCTATAAATTTAATTTTTACACACCTAATAATTTGAATTTTATAAAATTTTATTAATCAAGAAAAAATCAATGTGTCTTTAAATGTTTACCATTGAATTGACACATGTCTCGCTCAAAAATTGTTGCTACAATTCCAGTTAGATGTTGAAATAAAACTGCTAGCAAAATATGAACGTTGGCAATCGCTAGGGCTTCAAATTTTACACACTGAAGTCATGCATTGAACTTTAATTTATTTCTATTTAAATTTAATCAATATTTTTATGCAAATCAAATACAGCGTTGATATCCTCACTAAAGTTTAGCCTATCATCATGGTAAGCATTAGAGTGTTTGACACTCGGTCCTGACGGGCTACCCGCGGGACCTGGCAATGTTTTCTGTAAGAGCAGCGGGAACGGGTCGGGACGCGGGACAGGGAAATCGGAAAATGAAGGAGGAGTTGCAAAAATAAACCAGTTTTCAGTTCCGTTTTGTGAAACGAATATAATTTTGAAGTCAAAATTAAAAGTTATTGAATAGGATATTTTTCCAATCACAAATAAAAAAGCTATGAAATTAAGATAATAGTTAGAAATTAAAGGTAAAAAAATTATAAAAAGATCTTTTTTATGTTTATATTGTTTTTCTTAAAATTAAATAATGATACTAAAAATAAAACAAGATAATATTAAGAAATTGAAGGCATAAATATAAATTTTGCAACCAACAGTATGTATATGAGTAGTTATTTGCATACCACAAAAACTAGATTATTTATAACTGAATAACTGATTGCGGGAATCAGGACGAATCCGGGAATTATGTTTTAGGCACTCCCGGGAACGGGACCAGACTATGGAAATTTTTGAAAAAAAAAATCGGGTACGGGACAGGAAAATTTTCAAGAATTGGTCCCGTCAAACACTCTAGTACGCACTTGACGCTCACCCCCATTACCCAAATTACTTCATTCATGAAAAATTAAAACTGTTTGCTCAAATGGATGATCTAATTGTTAATTTATTAAAAGCACCAATTGTAAAAAGTTGCACTTTTCTTAAAACGGCGTACTCAGCACGTTTTGTGCTCGTAATGAGTTGCATGTAAACGTACACAACGTTTTGGAGAATCGGAAACGGTTTGTATGATTTCCTCAGCTAAACAGCAAATTAGAAAGCAGCCCACGTTTGATGGAAATAAAAAGTTTAATTGCAAAGAGGCGCAAAAGTGGATCAAGATTTATCAATAAATATTTAAGGAATCGTGCAATAATTTTGCTTGGATCTGAACCAGATCTGAACAACAGGGCGAGGCAGATAATTTTGAGACTTTTTTCGATGCTGATTTGCAAGTATTTCAATGTGTTATTTGGAATAAATTTTGCTGATTTTTCAGAAAGAGGCGCAAAACCGGCAAAACTCTTTTTTGTTTTGGCAGCCTCACACGTTGAACACGGACACGCAAAATTCTCTGATGGGAATGTTAACATCGCGTATATTCGACACACCATTAATATTCAAATGCTCTTAAGCATTATGGACTTGACCGAGATAAAAATTCACTGTGCAACTTTTAGGAGAAATTAAGGAAACAAAAATTACAATCACAGAAGCTGTACTTGGCATTATCGAGGCAAAAGAGCAAAAGAGCACAAAATAAACTGCCAATTTAAAAAAATCTTACCTCAGCTCCTGAATTGACCTGTGTCTCATTTAGACCAACATGCTCTCTGTTGCGGCCAGGATCTGGGAGGCGGCCAGGAGCTTGGAAGCGGCTAGTGGATGGAGTCTCTTTGCTTCCATTCACTTGGCAGTGGTGGCCATGGTATTTGGCCTGCCTTGAAGACCCGAGCTGGTATAGGGGTGGATCCTTGGCTTTTGGCTGTGAAGAGCTTGGACTTTGGTCCTCCTTTGGCTCATTGCCTCCATCTTTTCGCCCTAGACTCATATTCCTTATCTCTTCTGGTTGCCAAACCTTAGGATTCACAACCTGCAACAGATGCAATCACACAAAATGAGCACTAATATTTATTGGTAGTTGATTCTTGTCCGAAAAAATATTTACTGTACGCAAAAAATAATTTGCCTAATAATCGCGAAAAATGTGAAAAGCAGCAAACCATGAATTTTGATTGATTAATTATTTTTCAATATCAAATATAATTCCCCTCAAAATTCCATATAAATCTTGTCCCTCCCTCGAATACTAAAATACACGTGCTTACAGCAAACTAGAGAACTTTCTGTGTCCCTTTGTGCGCTGAATGCATCAAATTACACAATTAGAGAGCCAGATTCGATGCAGCAGAATAAAGATTAAAAAATGGTTTGGCACTTTTTTTTTAACGGGACCCACTTTTGGCATGTTTTTTTAATATGTTGGTGACTACCAACTAGAGCAACTTTTGGCTATAATGGAATCAAAAATTTTTATGTACTAGGTACTTTGGTGGCGCATCAAAAAATTCAAGCTTAAAAAGTTGACCCTGAACTTTGACCTATGATCTTGGTCACTATGGCAAAGTTGTAGGGCGTCTAATTTCCTACAACTTTGTTTATATACACACATGCGCTATCTGCAGCTGGAGCTGAGATATTTTTGATTTTCGAAAACACCTTTTTTAAAAATCCCCAACTTTGAGCCCCTGTAAAATAGGCTATTTTGAGCATTTTCAAAAATCCTTCTAAACTATTTTTCTACACCCTAAGGGCAACCAAACTACCAATTTTCAACAAGATCCGCCGACCCCATGCCAAAAGTGGGTCCCGTTAAAAAAAAAAGTGCCGTTTACATTAATTTTTTCATTTTGCTTCAAATCGCCACAGTTTGACCTCGTCGTGCCTTCTAAGAAACAGCCAATAATTGCTAGGAATCGACTGAAATTCAATCATTATCATTTTCAGAAAAACAAACAAAGACTTATTAAAGAAAGAAGTGCGCGCAACTTTAATAGAGTTTTGCTAGAACGAGTACCAAAGTTTTCATCTTAATGCTAATAAATCTAGACATAGAAATTTTAATTACTATTTTCCCATTAAGTGTGGAGTTGAGATCCCGCTCTGGTCCATCAACATGCTCAACAAATCCTCCAAGTGGTTTAGTCCTATAGCCAACAAATTAAGTTTTATGTATGAGCTAATTAATAATAATTAATTAATTCATAATAATCAACAATTTCCCTTATACTGTAAAACCTTAAGCATCAGATTTTATTGTAATTTACGAGCAAATTTTTTATTTCCATAATTTTCAATAAAATATGCATTAATTTTGCATTCAAAAAAGTTTTGTACCAGAAAATACCAATTTTTTGCTTTTTGTGGAGAATATTAGAATCCATCAGCAATTATTAAACAAGAATGAAGAATTAATTTATAATTAATAATTTTCAGAACTAAGCTATTTGCATTTATTTTATGCAGGAATGCATATTTGCGGAAAGGGTTTAATTCAATTTTTATTTGAAATGGCAAGAAGGCCCCACTAACAGATCAATTGTCCAGACGGGGTATCTTGGGTGGTTGTGCCCCTCGGAAACTAATTGCCCGTCGGCAGTTTCTTTGACTTGTACTGGGCATCTTGTGCGACAACATTCATATTTTTTTGAATGCCATCGCAGGGCAAAGCCATTCTTGTCCAACACATGGATCTTGTCATCAAAGTGGACGATCCTCCTAAAATTTACGTAATTCGATCAGCAAAATTGGACGCAAATTGTTCTTTAACGCACTTAATCTCTCCTTCATCCACACAAAATATAAGCCTGCTTGGGTTGTCATTCTTGTGTTTCTGATGGGCTGGGTGGGCATCATTTTGTTTAGCATAAATTATTCCTTGTGCTGTTCAATGAACTGAAACATCGTCGTTGCATTTGATGCAGATATAGCGCAACGACGGCTCATACTTTAGCCTGAAGACATTTTGCCCTGAAATAATTCTGTGGGGTGGATTTCTGAAACAAAAATAAATACCAAACTAGGCTAACACCTAGTTGTCCAAAATTATATGGGACTTGATATGAACTGGATCGCGAGAGCGCAATTCCAACTCACTGAAGGGTTCACGATTCAAGTTCCAACATTGTAAAAAGCTCAATGTGCATCGGCAATTCATTAATAGATAATTTGAGAATAACGTCTGAATTATTTTTTCAAAACTCAATTAGACTATTCACTTTGCATAAAATCATGAAGCAGTGGAAAAGCTTGGATGAAATCAACACATAAAAAACAACAAATAACAAACTGAATCTTAAGGTTATTATTTTTCACTCATATTTATGATAAAAGTTTTTTAAAAGTTACCATTTCCACGCCAATTTGGTGAGAGAGACAAATGATAAAAAAAGGTCTTGGCGTTGATCTCTGCATATAAATTTGTAATTTTGCAAGAAACAATAAACAAAAAAATGCGCCCATATATCAAAATTTTTACAGTGAAAGTTTGGCTCGTGGAGTGGAATTGCTGAATGAGCGAAAATCAAGGTGCGCGCTTTGAAAAATCAAATAATACCTCAACAGGTGAGTGTAAGGCCCATCAGAGTCCGCCATTACTTTGTGGGTCAAACTGGGGTCAAAATTGAGTAAAATGTCGAAAATCAGAAGAATAGTGTCGATTGGTCTGAAACAAAAATCAACAATCGCGTGGTCAGTTTGCTAGCTCGTGCATTAGGCATTAGGCATATAAAAATGAATACTCTGTCAACCGGCCAAATCATTTAAAAAACGTCAAATTTGTTTGTATTTACTAAAATTAAATTTAATTTATGTGAACAACGGCCCCCGTATAATCATTTCCGTGGCTACTAACGGCACATTTCAAAACAAATAAAAATTCCAAACAGAGAGTTGGTTAGCAGAAAACACACTGCTGGCAATAAGTTTTTTTATCAAGCCGCATCTTAGTCCTACATTTTAGCAGTTTTTTTTCCCCAACGACCATCCCCTCACAGAAAATGCGTGTGTTCAGGCTTAAAAACCAATTTTGCAGTAAATTAACAGCGTGAATCAAAGGTGTTCGCAGAGAATTCCAGAGAAAAAAGCGTCCCGAATTGTGCCAAATTAAGCAGAGCTCAAAACCAGCCTGAAGTTCACGAGCAAGAGGAAATCTGGTGCGTCTATTTTTGTTGATCAAAAAGAGTAATTTAATTGTACTTTGACTAACACAATTGTGAATGCGGGTAGTGCTTCAGGGTTTCGGCCAATTTAATAGACCTTTTTCATTAAGGCAACAATGGGATTCGCAGGCACAAAAACCACTTTTTGGAGGTGTCAAAACGCGACGTTCCGTGCTTCCTGACGTCTTTCTCAGGTCAGTGGTCACCAAATCGGAAAAATCTGGGCATTTTCGGCATCCTCATGAAACGAGCTTTCCGCCGGTGTGCCGTTTTTCGCTCCGAAGAGTCGCGTTCTTTTCAAAGCTCGGAGATACGACCAAGAAAATTTGACCGTTTTCAAACGCAAATTTATCCCAGAATTCTAAATTGACACGCAATAAAATGCACACCGTTGGAAAGCTCGTTTCTTCTAGATTTAGAATCCTGAAGCTCGCACCATTTCTTTGAGTTTGACCTATCTCTTTTTGTCCGAGAAGCACCCCTCCTCCGGCCCTTTTTGCTTCAATTTTGATTGTTGATTGCGACTCGGTTGAGCCCTGACCCGGGCCACGTCAGGTCAAAAATATATTATGAAAATCTATAAAAAGCTGGAAAATAAAAGTTTAAGAGTTGCTTAAAATAACTATTTAAATGCCAAAATTTATTTCACACGGACGCCCGAGATATAAAAGGGTTTGTGAGGAGTGCTCCCATTTCAATTGTGATTTTTTTAGAAAGAAAAACTTAACACAAAAGTTGTAGCTAAAGACATTTTCTTTCTTTTTGCAATAGTATATGTGTCTGTAAAAAAAATTATAATTGAGTTAAAATTGAAGAAAATAAAAATTTAACTTTTTAGACACGAAGAAAAATTTTAAGATTTTTTTGAAGATAGCCAATCGATTCAGCATGTCTTCATTAGTCTATGACCAAATTTTCGTTAATAAATTCGCAACACTTACAAAGTTATTGCAAAATGTTTGCCGGCACCTCTTTCATTTAAAAACAGAGACACGACCCTTTTGAATATTTCTTTGCAGCAATAGAAGCCATTTTGGGCAATTATTGGAATTTAACATACCATTTTGTTGCAAAGACTTGATTTGACTATGTCCTTAACTAAAACTACTGTCGCAAGTGTGGCGGTAATACAAATTTTCGCGTGCAAAATACGCGACGAGAACGTGCAATTTGCCAGACGTGTGAAGAGATCGGCGGCGGCTTCTCCTGCTTCGTTCTCGTTGCCAAGCAAAGAGGCGCGCTTTAATAAAATTTATTATTTTGTGGTTTAAATGTTTTTATATTTTAACTTTTAATCGTCTCAATTACGAACTTTCAGAATGATTGATTGGTCTGATTTTTACTTCAATGTTAATTATTCTTGATATGTGGTAAAATTTACATGGGCACAGCGCACTTGGCGATCAAACCAGTAAAAATTTGCAAGTTTGGTCAACAATTGTAACAAAAAACAGTGTTTTATTCCAAAAACTCGATACTGTTCCCAATTCTAATAATTGAAGTTCAACTTTGTAATTTCCAATTGCAGATGGTTTTTATTCAAAAACTTTGTCCAATAAGTCAAATTTTTTTCAAGGGAAAAAATTAATTTTTCGAGACACAAGACTGACAAGACTGAAAAAATTGAGCGCGAGCGCAAAATTGTTGAGCGCATACATTTATTTATTTCTGTAAAGTGTGTAAATGTTATATTTTAATAGTAGTTATTTAATTTTACTGAATATTGCTTCAATTTAAATTTCCTACATGTCTCGGCCAGCCGCGTTGCACCGCGCCAGCCACGGTATTTTTGGGTCTATAGTGACCAGCCGCCGCGGTTGTGGCCAAGCCACAAGATAAATTTTTGAAATCGCTGTTTTCAAATATAAAAATTATAAAAATTTGAGCTTGATTTTATTCTGACCTTTATTTTTGTTAATGAATCTTTTAAACTATTTTGTTTTATCGCTTCGCTTGCCTAAATATTTTTTTGTATTTGAAATAATTATATGGCTCTACTTAGTACCAATCGGTGGTTTGATATCAATTGAATATTGCAAGTTTAATTTGGCCAAAAGCGCAGGAGATATAAAGGTTTTTCTTCCACGATTCGACAGGTTTTCGAGTCATTCAATGTTCCGTAGAAATAAAATATCCTACTCTTCATGTTTCGGCTGCGGGCTGCAGTTGTAATTTAAGAGCTTACATAAATTTTTTGACAAAAATTACTGAATTTTGAAAAGGTACATACACATAAACATTAACTTATAATTTTCTGGCAAGAAATTTTTTTTAAGTAACAATTTTCCACAGACTTCAGCCAAAAATTTCGTCTTTTATATGAAGCCAAAAAGCATATAGAATCACGTATAATATATATCGTTTCCTATAAAATAATAAACGAAAATCCGACTGTTTCTTAGATCACAAGAATCATACTACAATTATAAATATCTTCTAGAAAAAAAACTATACCACTTATTTACCATTTTTTTATGCTGGCAAGCCATGCTTGATATATATATATTTTTGAATTATACTTTTGAAGATCAAAATTGGCATCCTCGATACTGTTTTATTGGATATAAACTCTGCTTTTGTTCAATGATTTAGTTTCAAGAAAATATTTATTGGGTTCCAATTTAGGGCAACTATGCCCCATACATGAACTGATCCAAATAAATGACAAAAACAAAAATTTAAAACAAGAGAGAAAGAAAACATAAGTATTGCTAAAAATATTGCTTTTTCAGTACTGCTTTAAAGAAATTAACATTTTCAATCAAACATAGAATTGACGGTAACGCATTCCAGAACCTATAACATTGTACTTGAAAAAAGTTTTCTTGATTTACTCATATCTGACGTTTTTTGCTGGTCTTTGGTTACCGAAGCGCAAGAAAGCCATCATGAACAACAGCTGCAGCTCACAGCCGAATCATTTAGAGATACACACTTTTTTGTAGCTATACCAGTGCAGAAAGAGTAAAACTTCATACAATTCATAGAGGAATAGCTGAGAGTATATTGATTCAACAAAAAAAGGTAAAAATCAGTAATTCAGTCATTTGTGTTATATAAATTAAATTAAATCAACAGAAAGCAGAGAAATTTGGGTGATTTGAGTTTATTCAAGATAATTAAATGGAAATTTTATCTCAGATTACATTATCGTCTTTTAATCTTTTAATGATAATTGAAAAAAGAATGGACCATAAAGGGCTTACTTTATTTTAAGCATGATCCAACCCTGCAAGACTTATAAGTTGATTTTCTGATATTTTTAATGTAATTCTTGCTTCATGAAGTTATGGGCAAGCAAGCTAGGACTAGGAATCACATTTTGCACGCTGACCGTCTTGCATTTCCTCCCTGCTTGCAATTATTTCTTAAGTTATAAAGCAAGCGTCTGAAACGATTTTCAAGACTACCTTTTATCAAAAGTATAAAAAAAACGATGAATTATTATAAAGCTGTTGTGGGTTCACCGCGGCGGCCATGTCACTTTAGATGTTAGGCGTTTTAGCAGTTACCTCTGCTGGTTGTGATACCCCTTTTGCTCACTATTTCCACTTCCAATTTTTTTGTATAGACTTGAGTAGAATAAACGATAATAATGTTGTAATAAGACTAAGAGACATAATTATCAAAAGAGACATTCGAATAAAAATGAAATTGTCGAAGGTTTGGCTACCGGGATGGAAAATAAAATTTCAATATCTCAGCCGCTAGCCGCCGCCGAGGGCAAAACGCGGCTCAGAATTGACGCAACCCCCTACAAGGTATGCTACGCCGCCTTACATTGCTGTTAGGCGGGTTGCTGTCACTGGCATTTTACTAAAAAATATGTTGAATTATTTGAATTATTTATTTCTATATTATCATATTGTCGTGGGCTATGCTGTTGAGTAAGAGCGAGTACATGGTCAGCAATTATAGTCGCAAGGTGCAATGCATTCAGTCTGCTGTTAACGATAGAACAATATAAACAATATAAACACCTCGCTGCTCTACCATGGTACTCGCCGCCTATCTTTCATTCCCCTTCTTCCCGTAACAATATGCATTGGCATGCATTTAAATTGGCTTATATAATTTATCATAATAAACTATTTATAACGCGCTATTTTACCGTGGTCAAAAAATTTGGAAATTCTAAAATGCTTTAACAGTAAAAATGCAAGAATTCTGACGCTGGAATGGTACATGTCTTCCTTGGTGAAAAAATTTATGAAAAAAAAATCCAATCAACAGGAAATAACTTGTTTGTCGAGTGTAAAAATTTATCTACTCGAGTGTAAAGAGTTTTGATTGCAAACAAGACGAATCACAAATTTACTTGTCAGAAAATAGTCTTTAGCGATGATGTGAAAATTTCTTATCAAAAATTCATTGCTCATTATCAGAGATAGTTTGTTTTTATCTGTCAGAAATTCAAAAATAAAGAAAATCAAATGTCAGAATTTATTATTATTTTCTTTTATTATTATAGTAAAGGCGTCGAGTAGACGTAAAATTATGAAGT